CGGAAATAAGCAAAAAACAAATTGGTTATTGTAAGGTACGAGTAATTAAGAAACGAGGGTTTATGTTATAAAAATGTATTTATTGATACAAATTTTTTTTTCAAAGAAAAAGAAATACATAGTTTGTATGAGAATAAACTAAAAAAGTTTTAGTAACATTTAGCCAAAGATTCTCGTTTCGATAGAATTATATGAAAAATTTCGTTATATCTATAATAACGAAGTTAATTCCAAAAATATTATATTGAAATACATATCAAGAAAAGCTAAGTCGTTAATTTGTGTACGCACATTACGTTCTATATCTTCGTAATTACCACTCAGTGTTAATTTTATAATTTCCTGATTAATAAAACATGCAGGTAATTTCAGTTCGATTTCTTGAATTAAATACGAGGGTGGTCCGATAAGTACTTAGCCTCACCGCCCGATGGGCCCACTATCTCAAGAGAAATTTACTATCGTGTAGTACATTCTCGTAGAGACGGCTACTGTCAAAATTTCAGCCGAATCGGACTTGTAGTTTTGTTTTGACCGTGTGTGGAAGCGGGCGTGTCCGCGGATTTTAGAAAAATGGAAAAAGAACACCTCCGCCGTCGCCACGGCCAAATTGGTCGAATTGGGCTACGAACTGCTGCCCCATCCACCGTATTCTCCAGATTTGGCCCCGTGCGACTTCTTTTTGTTTCCAAACTTGAAAAAGTCACTCACCGGGCAGAAATTTGAGTCGAATGAGGAGGTCATCGCCGCCACGGAGGCCTACTTTGCAGACCTCGAGAAAACGTATTTTTCAGACGGGTTAAAGAAGTTGGAGCATCGCTGGGTCAAGTGTATCGAGCTAAAAGGAGACTATGTTGAGAAATAAATCGCCACTTTTCCAAAATTTTCGTTTTTCTTTTGTAGACTAAGTACTTATCGGACCGCCCTATAAAGCACACTAGTTAACATTATCGGATAAAGATTCTAATTGTTTTAAACGCGCATCAACGCACTTTACAATGCTTTGCAGTCCGAGGAAGGTGGTTTTCTGCATTACAATTGCTGCTAAGTAAGTTCTCCGTTTCTTCGCCGGAGGAGTTGAATCGAGCCTCGTCCTCTTCTTTTCGAAGATTTCCGTTGGAATTTTCCTCTTCTTCTTTATACGCTAGCAATATTGATTTTGACCCGTAAGATGTGGTAAAGCTGATGGTGATATTTTTTATAACAACAAAGTTAGGTTTTATTCTGTTATCGCTGCTTAAATACTCGTTCATGAGTTCCATGTTATCTTGAAACTGTTGCCAGCAATCGGTGTCAAAATAAATTCCGTCTGCGTTATGTCTGCACAATTTTACAACAGGTTTGAAGATTTCTTCGTTCGTTCTTTGCAATCCTACGTGAATCGTCTTCGTATGAGAATTGTTAAGGCTATACGTTGTTGCTAACAACATATGAAATCGAGCATTTCTTCTCTCGTCGATGTCGTTACGTAGCTTGTAAGAATCGGGGATGGAGTACATCCTCATGTCCGAATTATTAGTATTTTTTGGACTGGCCATTGTTCTTACGTTGTAGTTGTTGAAATATAATATACATTTGACTATATTCATAGTAAAGGAAAACGAAACAATGAGTTGCGCGTAGAATAAGTCACCTCTCGTGTAGCACATGAATATCACGTGATCGACATGAGTTGCCGAAACGGTCGACTAAGCGTATGTAAGTTAGTAGTCGTAAGAGAGTCGTCGCCGACTGCACACGTAGCGCACAGTAATCGATAGGTTAAGTGATAGAGTTATTGTATTAAAAGTATATTAAGTGAAATAATCTGTGTAAAACCTCATTTTTTCCGAACAGTAGTAATACCAAATTCAGCAAACTAAGATGGCGAATAAAAAAAACACAAGAAGCACACTTGTTTGCTCGCAAGGCTGAAGCTACGGACGACGAGACTCGAAGAATAAAACGGATTTTCGTTAGTACCGTCGACATCACCACCCTTTTCGACGCTGCGTAATAAAATTATTCTGCGCGCGCAGATGAAAAAAATAAAAACATAAACTTTCTTTAAATTTTTCTTAAAAATTTAAAATAATCTTTACCCCGTAGAAGTCAGGAGAGGGGGTGAGAACAAGATAAATCGAGATCGAACAGGAATGAACAGGCGCGAAATAAAAGGTTTTACGATTCCTCTCCTCGTTTTCTATGTCACGACGGAGGAGGAAGGAATTCGTTCAGGTGAAAAAAATGAAAATTCTTTTTTCGCTATAAAGGAAAAAAGGGTTCGCCGACCTCGTGACAGTCCAGTACCTCAGCCATCGGCTCAGTAGTCGGCAGTTTCGTGGTAACAGTCCTGACACGTCAGGAAGTAGTTCTGGGTGAAGTACGCATGGGTTGCCTTTAATTTCTCGTCCGCAGCTAACGTGATTTTATAATCCAACTATTGGCATCTAGCAAAGGTCTCCTTGAGGGTTGCGGGGCGTTGCCGCGTTATGGCACGTGTCATCTTAGCCTATCCCAGCTTCTTAAAATTAGTGTGCGAGATATGGCGCCCATTTGCTGGTTTTGTATACTCAGTTCGTCGAGAAACGACATGATTTCCAACGGAAAAGGCACGACTCGAAACGTTCGAGAATCAAGCAAAAACAATAACTTTCCTTGACGACGATCCGACTTGAAGGATCAAAATATATTTTGTGTTCGTGACGCTGGTGTCACCTTGTATGGAAGGCCCGCTCGCCAAGGCGGCGTGTAAATACGACTGTCTTGGTTGTAATAATTTGAATTTTATTGTTGAGTCGAAATAAGATTTGTTCGAAGAGGGCGGTAGGCAATACTCGTAATCCGATAATTGATACATTCGGTTAGACGCGTGCACAGGTAATTCGCACTTGGTATGACATTATGTAATTTCTCGCAGCTGTTAAAAGGAATGTGTATGGCGAGCAGCAACGGAATCGGCAAATCTCGTTAGAAACTCAGGTAATTCTCGCGCACTAAATGCCCTCGCGGTATGCGTGTACTGTAACGTTACGTGATACAATACAGCGGTGATACGCAACGATAATCTGGTTTGGTTTGCAATTAATGTTCGGGATAAAATTTGTTAAGAACAAATATCGATGGATGATCCATATTGATCGAGATTGGGAAGCGAACTGAATTCGCATGCGGAACGTGTGCGCGATAGTCAGCTTTTCGGGTGTCGCGCAAGGAGAGTCGCATGCCATCTGAGATAGAGAGCGTAATTAGAACAGGATAGAGATATACTCATGTTTTGAACGATAAAACGGCTCGGTATCGATGAGCTGTTTACTTGCCATTCCCGAGAATACATTTAAATGAACGATGATTTCAAAACAAATATTAATATTTTTTTATTATATTGTATTTTTTACGCTATTTACA